TGTTTCAGTTCTTCAAAATATCTTATTTTCTGTTCAACATAATAAAGACATTTATACAGGTTTGGAACGACATGAGGGTGAGTAAATGACACAATTTTAATTTTTGGGTGAACTTTTCCTTTTAATTGATCGAAAGGAACTATTCCTTTAATGCATAATTGCTGGGGTAATATAGAAATATCGGCCAGGACATGTCTAGGAAGAAGATGATGTATGGTCAGCCTAGTTCTTGCCGAATTAAAGTGCAAATTTCTTTCAAATAAATAAGTAAATAAAATCTTAAAAATAGTTTTTTTTTTTTTTTACTGACACCAATCTTTTGAACAGTAGTGTACTTACTGTCTTGGTTCTAGGGATTTTATCCTGAACTGATGTGATTTTCTATTCTGGCAGAACCCCTGAGAAGATGGGCTCTCCGTCCTACTCCCCTCCGCAGCATACACAAAGATCTTTCTCTTCACCTGACAGTCTGCAGAGACAGGCCATGGTGAGAACACCTTCTGCTCATATTCAGACTTCGACATTCAAAATTCTATGTTAATGTTAGACCAGATGTAAATTGTATTGCTAATGGACACTTAAAAGAAAGTAAAAATGAAAATTTGCCTAAAATGTACTCGCTCTCAGAAATTTAGCATTCCATCACTTGTTCACCAATGGATCCTCTGCAGTGAATGGGTGCCGTCAGAATGAGTCCAAACAGCTGATAAAAACATCACAATAATCCACACCACAAGTCCATCAATCTTGTGCCGCGAAAAACAAACGCATCCATAAAGACATTTTTAACTCCACACAAAATATATACAATAATCCACACCACAAGTCCATCAATCTTGTGCCGCGAAAAATAAACGCATCCATAAAGACATTTTTAACTCCACACAAAATATATTATCTATAATATTGCTTTCTCCAGTGAAGAAGTCATCTCATCTGAATCAGGAGAGAAATATGCACAGATCAAACAATTGACTTGATGGACTGGAGTGGTGTGGATTATTGTGATGTTTTTATCAGCTGTTTGGACTCTCATTCTGACGGCACCCATTCACTGCAGAGCATCCATTGGTGAGCAAGTGATGGAATGCTACATTTCTCCAAATCTGTTCTGATGAAGAAACAAACTCCTCTACATCTTGGGATTTTTTTTTTTTAACTATTTATTTAAAATATATTTCTGAAGCATTTAAAGTCATCACTCACTCACTCACTTTTTTTTTTTTAAATAGATGAACAACATGTGGCAGGTTCAGATGCAGCAGGTGCTCCAGTTCAATGGAGGTCTCCAGCAGGGCATGCAGCAACTGCGCAGTCCTGCAGACAGTAATCACTGGCAACAGGATCGGTCCGGCCAGCGTGGTCATCGCCACTTTCAGCAGGACAATAACAACCCTCATGGCAGAGATCAACGGCACGGCAACAGTGGGAACGGCTATGACCGGCATCGACGCGACAGCCAGCGAGGTGACTTCTATCACCATGATGACCGCAGCGGAGGACACAACAGAAATCACCCTCCTGAAAGACGGAGAGACTCGAGAGAGGGACGATGGAAACCCTTTTAAAAGCATTTTAGTTCTCCCGTAAGCATTTTTAATCAACTGTTTTAATAACCTTTTGTTATCCTCCTAGATTTTAATTTTTTTATTCCGTAGATCGCATCTCAACTGTTTATATATATATATAAAAAAAATAATAAGTTAGCAGTGCAACTGCTTTTGACATGAGGTTAAGGCATTTAGACTGGAAATTGTTTGTAGAGATGCAAGAACAAAAAAAAAATAATACAAAACCAGTAATAAATTGGCCATTTTGTGTGCTGACCTGTTTTAAATCTATGTTTTGATCTCAGGGGGATACCTATGTTTATATAATTTTTATTTTTAAGAATGTCCTTTTTGAGATGTATTTCTGTACAACAGCAAAATGCATAAATGAACAAAATATGGTAGATTTCTTTTTCTCTAGAGATTTGTAATTTCTCAGGATTTCTCATGAAAAATAGAAAACTAGTTTTCAGGTGACTTATGTTTGATAAACAATGTTTTATGGGTTTTTGTTTTTACTGATTTTGCTTACTACGTTCCTCTTTTGGGAGTGATTAGGATAATGTTGATTATTAATTCATCAAGATAGTCTTTGAAAATTTGGAGCAATAACTAGTTTTAATACTTTGGTATATACACGATTTTTACTGTCAAGTGCAACATTTGATTTCATAAAAATCACTGTTTACTGATCTCTTTCTGTCTGAATTCGTTGTGCAACCCTCATGTGAAAACTGTTGATTGTTTTAATTTAGCAAATACTTTTTAACTGGTCAGGAGACACATGGAAGAAGCTCTAACACGGATTTCAGTAGTGTATAGGTGGCGTCGTTGTGCAACCCTCATGTGAAAACTGTTGATTGTTTTAATTTAGCAAATAATTTTTAACTGGTCAGGAGACACATGAAGAAGCTCTAACACGGATTTCAGTAGTCTATAGGTGGCGCCATAATTGAAGCATGTATAGTCCAAAAAAGTATGCTTCTGTAAATAAGTATACTTATAAGCCTATGTATGGATTCTAATACAGGCTTAATAATATATTATTTCAATAATGAAAATGTAGGGTAACGTATGCAAAAGTGGGACAGTTTTTGAATGATTTGCAAAGGAGTAAAATCTTCTAAAAATTGTTAACATTTTGTTGAATTCGAGTTCCTATTCATATTAGTTTGCTTTGGTAATGGTCATGATCTACCAGATCTAGCTAGGTCAAGTCTACCTGGTCAGATCCCACTTACCTGAACATTATTTCTCTAAAAAGGTGGATCCGTACAATTTTACAAAAACACATGCTTTGGATGACCATCCAACCAATATCTAATTCACAGATGTGTGTCCTTTATTTGTATTCTTTGTAGAAAGTGTTCTCACTTGCTCATAGTTTGGTAGGCTATATACTTTTTTTTTATACAAATGAAAAATTCCGCAGAATAAGACGTCATTACCTATTAGATATTAATCAAGAAATGTACTTGCCCTCTTGTATAAACTTCCACCTTTAAATTTAATTAAATAGTATAATAATAATAATAATAATAGACACGTATTAGGCATTATAGCCTACTACTTACTGTACGTTTAAACTTAAAACATTACGTGTTTAATCACTCGAGAGAGAAAAAAATGCCAAGGACTACACTTGTTTTTTTACTGTAATAAATTAATATATTGCAACCACTGAAGCTTTTAGAATGTTTGTCATTTTCTTTCTTTTATTCTTTCTATGACGAAAACGGTAGGCTACATGTTTGTAAAGGTTTCGTTAGAACTTGAACTGGAACTGCAATAGTCGTGATACAATTAGGCATTGACCTGCCAGTGGTCGCTCTATAACAGCTCCGTGACACTAGGCAGCGGAATCCTTTAATGTCCGATCTGAGGTCATAATCTGCCCTTCCGAAAGTGCGTTAGCTGCCATCAGCGGCTCCCGGTGCGTGTGAAGCCGAACATCCCCGCAAAGCTCCTGGATCCAAAAGCTCGCAGAGCCCCGAGTCTGTGCATCAATCTGCGGAGGATCGGGTTCTAATGAAGCTGCTGTACTGGGAAACGCGTTACTGAGGAGCTCAGCCTCTGCGCATTAACTGCTTAATTGATTGAACTGCTTGGCGTCCGGGATCCAGAAAGCGATGGCTGCTTATCGTGGCCCTTCACCCCCGCCAGCCTTTCCCCACTCTATTAAAATCCATACACTCTTAAAAATAAAGGTGCTTCAAAAGGTTCTTCAAGCGATGCCATAGAAGAACCATTTTTGGTTCCACAAAGAACCCTCTCTTTCTTACCTTTTTATAATCTGAAGAACCTTCTTTCGCCACAAATAAACTTTTGTGAAAAGTCTTCAGTTGTTAAAGGTTCTTTATGGAACCATTTAGACAAAAGGGTTCTTCTATGGCATCGTGAAGCACCTTTATTTTTAAGAGTGTATATTGCTGTATGAAAATAAATATATAATGTCTCTGTAAGTATACGGTAGGCCTATATAGCCTACAACTTTTATGAAACTTTTCCCACTCCTAGGATGAGTAAAATAATAATAATCATAAAATAAAAAAACAACCTTTAAAGTTCCTATCCTTTTCTTCATTTTAAGAGTGTTGAAATATTACACCTTCTTACATTTATATTTTAATTAATGCATGTGTTACACACACACACACACACAAACAGAGAGAGAGAGAGAGAGAGAGCACGCTGAAATATCATAACCCGAGCTCATGAATGTGCGTTTCAGTGGCACGGTTTTCTGTTTCTATTTGCCGTACTATTTACACGCAAAAATTGACTTTGGCGTGCATATGATACGTAATTGGTAGGTTTAGGGGTGTGGGGTAGGTGCGTACTATATGTAAGCCAAAATGCGTATCATATGCACGCCAACAAAGTGCGTATCATATGCACGCAAAAAACTGCGTATTAATATCTATCTATCTATCTATCTATCTATCTATCTATCTCCAGTTCACAGGTGCCATATGCACCCACTTCCCACTGTGCAGTCTGTTTATCTTGATATTCTGTTGTATCCCTCTGTTTTAAAGCCAGCAGCAGTTGTTCTCATTTCTTCCCTTTGATCAAGGTCTCCAACCCAAAAGAGCTCAAAGCTTTTTCCAGTGGAGATCTCTATATTTCCTTTACATAATCCCTCACGCTTTGAACGCGGCGGCTGTTATCTCGGATCCTCTGCAGAGTTATATTTACTCTCATACATGGGAAAATGATAATCATTTGGACAGCGGACACACGGCTCTGAAAAGCAGAAACCCGACACTGAGCTCGATGAAGGAGTTCAGTGCGCCACGAACATCAAAGCAGCGGTCCATCTGTAATAAGCATCATAATGTCAAACAAAACTGCTGCTGCTGCTGCTGTCTGGAAAGAGCTGTCTTTCTCACTCACTCTGTAACAAAACCGAGAGAAATGTCTGTTCACCTCAATCATTTCACACGGTTAATACTGTCTGAACTTGCTGACACTGATATGAGAAACACCTGTTGATTCTGCCTCTTAATTCACGAAAGACTCTTACAGAAGCAATGCAGGGCAAATATTGCTGAATTTTTATTTAAATTTTTATTTTTTTTTTTACAACGAATTGTGCTTAAAAAAAACAGGGGGGGAAACTTTTCAGAAATGCCACTGGAATTATACATAGCCTATGTATTTCTACAGTTAGCCTATATAATTATTCATGTCTAGACTCCCACTCTTAGGATATCTCACGTTTATTTTGTATAGCCTAGCGCTTTTCACGATACACATCGCTGCAAAGCAGCCTCAGAGAAAATGTTTTTTTTTTGTTCTCCTCCATATCTGCGACTAACACAACTGTAGGCTATTTCTTTCTTCTTCTTTTTCTTTCAATTTACATCAAATTAACTTTGTTCCTACTCCAGAAACCAACAAACTGTTAAGGCTAAAATGCGTATTACAAAAAAATGCTACAATTAAAACAAAATGCGTTCCGTCTGCACAGTTATCAACTAAAGTTATTATATCCGTTGCCTTTGTTATTCTTTTAGGCTATGCATATTGACAATCGAATAGCCTATTTGATTGCATGATTACATTTAATGTTGCAGTAAATGTTTCATTTTTTAAGCACAAACAAATCATTATTTTATCATGCAGATATATGACTAGGTTGTGTCTCCTTCCCGCTGTTATCATAAATAATTATATGCAAAACGTTACAAAAAAATAGCCTAGCTATATAATGCTTTACAAAATAATTGTATTTTATTAATTTATAATGAATGATCTTAACTTATATAACTTTAGTTATAATTGTTGTGAACGTTAATAAAATGTAGGCTATTATAATTTGAAACTTTATTTGTGCAGAAAAAAGCCACGCGTTTCTGAAACCGCAAGTGTTGCTTTACGCGATCTTGAAAGTTTTAAGACACGCAGGCGTTTCCGTGTCGACAGAACTTTTCCACCAGCAGCAACACAAAATAACCACAATAGCCTTAATGAACTCATTAAATCATGTGTCGCCTTTTCAATTTGAATGACGTTAACTCCTTTGCATACAAATAAACTAACGCCATGTTTACTTAACATGTATTTCATCATGCATATTCCAGAATGAGTTTCAAAAACATACTGACTCCTTTCTCGTGTAAACAATGCATCATTACCGACACTGGAAATAGCCTAATAAAATCTGGCCCAAACTAGATCAGATTTACGATTTTAGAGAAAAAACGTTCTCAATTTTTGAATAGTAGGTCGGAAAATTGTTTCATCTGCAGAACTTTGACGGATAAAATAAAATACTAATAAATCCATTAATACATATATTAATTTGTGGGGTATTATTTCTACCTTTTTAGAACACAACAGTATCATATAAGAAGAAGAAGAAGAAGATAAAGAAGAAATGCGTACTTTATACTTCAATTCATACTATACATGAACCGTAATTCAATGTAAGTTTCCATGGATCATGGATAAAAAACAAAACAAAAAAAAAAAACAGAGAAAACCGGTTCATTGTTCTGCTGTACAGTAAAAGAGAGAGAGAGAGGGTGATTGACGTGAAGTGTGTCTGTGCAGTAGTGACAGGATAGTTGGTTTATATAGCGGCGACTCAGAGCGCAGTGCGCACTCGCTGCATGAATGAGCGCGCGGAAGACACTGAGCACAGCTGCAAGAGGACGAGATCAGATGAGATGTCGTTTTAGATCACTATCTTACGCTAAAAGTTGTACACTACTTTGAAGAAGGCGATTATCAGAAGTGTTGTGGTGACCGTCACTCGGCGCGTATCTGGACACTATGCATTGTCAAGCAGAGCTGAGAGTCGCGAGCAGCGCGCAGCTGAAAGCCGCCAGAAGACGATACAAGACTTTCATGATCGACGAGATCCTCTCCAAGGAAACTTGTGATTACTTCGAGAAACTTTCACTTTACTCGGTTTGCCCCTCTTTAATCGTCAGACCCCAACCTCTGCATTCATGCTCGGGTAAGTGACATAAACACTTTTCTTTTAACTTTTTTTTTTTTTAAATTTCTTTCCGCAATGTTTTCTAATTTTGAACGGACGTTGATATCCCTCACTTAGGCTTTCTTTAATTTTATTTTATCTCTTTGCCCTCATATCTATAAAAAATAGGCTACAATTGCACTGCAAAACTTTCAACCCACCAAAACCGATGCATTTAACTTTTTCATTGTAATTACTAATTAA